CTCTGTTAAAAAGCGTCTCATCACTGATCCACAATGAATCCGGCCTTTCTGTTGACTCCCCATCAGTGAAAATGTGCAAACTGTTTTTTTAAGTTTAACATTGCAATTCAGATATAATTACAAATATTCGTTGTTACCAAAGCACTATTGTTGTTTTTTGCTGTTTACTATTCTAGCAATTCAAATATTTCAGTTCCTCTTTTACGTCACTCCTCAATATCTCGTTTTAGAGGAGGATTTGTATTCCTGTTGTCTGTCTACTTTCCATCCCTTTTTTAGCACTTCTTTTTTACCTTTTCATTGCTCTCTCTGTTTTATCAGTGTTATGTTTGTTTATTTATGTCCTTGTTGTTTTTTACCTGCCACTGCAGTTAGCGTGGTAATATTACTTAATGGCATCTTCTGTCAAGAGACATAAAACTATGTTATATTTAAACAGCCAACACATTGCAAGAGTTGCATAGCAACACGAATATATTCTATTCCATTAATGAGCGGGCGGCTGTGGCTGAGGGGTAGACTGGTCAGCCTTCAACCAGAAGGTCAGTAGCTCAATCCCCAGTCTTCCTGGGGGCTCTGCATGCTGACCCGTCCTTGGGCAAGAATTGCCCCTCATAGAACAAAAGGTGCTGCAAATACATGCACTGTATGGATGTGTGTGAATGGCAAACTGTACTGTAAAGAGCCTTGAGTTGTCATCAAGACTAGAGACATTTACCATTTAATATCCACAGGGATATTTCTTAAAATAAAAATTCACTCATTATCTACTCACCACTATGCAGATGGAGGGGTGGGTGAAGTGCTTGAGTCCACAAAACACTTCTGGAGTTTCAAGGGTAAACAGTGTTGCAGCCAAATCCAATACAATTGAAGTAACTGGTGACCACTTCTTCAAACATAAAAACACAACAGAATAAATGTGGCTCCAGAGGAGGATATCAGAGGACATCAGAGGACATCAGAGGATATCAGAGGACATCAGAGGACATAAGCATCAATCAATTTTGGCTTGTGTGAATGTTATAAAAGAATACATTTAAACATATATAGGTAGTTTCAATAAAACGTTGGCAGACACTTTTCTCTGTCATTCACAATACTTAACATACAGACTGTTGTCATTACAAAGGTTACAGATCCTCTAGTTTCTGTGTAACCCTTTATATCTTCCAAAGATCTTCTGGATTCTGCTGTTATTCATTCTAAAAATTCACATAGCCGGCCTGTATGTTCTGTTTACACACAACAAATACTTTCCAGCTTGATCTCTTGTTTGAATTCCACATAGATGACACACTATTGAGGGCACTGCCACTTTTGGATGGATTGATCCTTCAGCCTCTGTTCAATAGTTAGTATTAATCAGTTGTTGCTACACCTCTGTGCGAGCCAAAGATAAGACAAACCACAGTAATCCAGTATCTGTATTATCTACAAGACCTATGGCGATACACCTGTTTCATGCAGGAACAGCAAATAGTTCAATATTTGGCTGAGTTTAGTTTCTTTGCCTTCTATCAGCCTCTCCCAGGAGCCAATCATTCTTTTTTCACAGTGATACATAGTAGTTATCTACCCTGCTCCCTGTAGACCATATTATTACAGGTTGTCATTTGAAGTTATAGGGTGCACAACAATTTGCAGCTCATTCCATTAACCTATTAGCAGATGATGAAAACACTAGAATCGATAAGTTAAAGTTGTGACACAGATAAGTCATGCACACTCTGGGTTCTCCTACAGAAACGTGTGGAGGCATGGGCCGTGGTGGGAGCTCACCTGGTGTGTGATGGAGCGCAGGATGAAATCCATTCATCAGCCGGCCTCAGTGAGAGATAGCCCTGCCAGCATGTCCACTGCTCACAACGGGCTAGCCTGAATAAATAATGGAGGATGTGTGGGGGGAAAAGGTGGCGCCGCTGCCACTGACCACGGCCATCGCTGCTCTGAGGTGTCAGCTGAATTTTTTTTATTGGGCTGATGAGGCTGTTTTAAAAGAAGATGAGAGCATGGACACAGGACTGATGCAAGTCAGTCATTTTCTTTCCAATTTCCAAGTGAACTGTGTGAATTTGAGATTTAGTTGATGTTACACACTGACTGAAAACACAACTTATCCCTGATCTTCTTCATGGATGACATTTCAAATATTGCTCCATATTTGTCCTTATATTCTCTTCTACTGAGCCCTATTCTGTGGATGAATGATTTCTCCAACCTACGATTGAGGAAATCTGTACTTCAAGTCAAATAGTTGAACAAATCGTCCGGAAGATGATAAAGATATCATCCCTGAGGACACAATGTTGGATGTAGAGCTTTTGGAAAAACAAAAAGTATAAAGTGTATTCAGATATCACATTAAATAGATATGGAGATCAGTCTAATTACTACTCATGGATTTGGCAGCAGTGTGCTCCACACATCTTGGAAATTGCTACCGCTAGCTAAATTAAAAATCTCTTCTGAAAAACTAATCCGTGCCAATTTGAAAATCTGTTCCTCAAAGCAGGAATATAAAACTATGAGACTCTCCCTCAAACCCAGGGCACCATTTTCTAATAAGGTGTACTTCATAAAGAATTTAAGATGTTATAACTAATGGCTTCATTAATGTTCAATTATACACCATTAAAAAGGAAAATATATGGTAGTGGAAAAATCTCTGCCAGGCAGCAAACCCGTACAACCCCCTCCTACTTTAAATATTGGAAGAATTATTAATCTTTGCAGATTTACTCAGTTTGAATAAACAGCTGAGCGGACTGCAGCCCACAGAACAGGATCATTACACACGAAGATGAAATGCTTATTTCACAAGATTTCATAAAACCCAAGTCAAAGGGAGTTTTTTCTGATCTGCATTTAAAAAAAAAGAGATGAATATCAGTCACAGATTATATTTTACCTTTGAGCAGCCTGTTTCTGAACGTTCTGCATGCAGATACTTTTTAATCCAGCGTGAGCTTTCGTCTGTGTCTGCACCTTAATTAATAATGAAGAGGTCTGCATGTAGAGTGGTCGAATGATGGGAGGATCCCCTTTACTCAAATACTACTGAAAAATGTATTGGAACCAAAGTGAAGGGGGAGACCCAGATTACAGAACCCCTTCAGTAGCTGCTGTTAACATGTAACATGGACAATCAGCTGACACGCAGAAAAAAACATTTCCAGAGGAAGAGGACAGAGATTATATTGATTATTTGAAACCTCAAAAGTGATGAAACATTACATTTAATGAGTCAATCATTTTAGAGATTATGCTTCTTACCTCTCTGAAACATGACTGGATTTCAATGAACTGAGATCTGGCTCCACCTCAGTTTTAGGGTTGGGCACATTTAAATGGGATCAGCAGCATTTCCACTTCTCCATTTTAGTGGCCTTAACACCCCAGAGAAGTGTGGACGTCAGGCGTATCTGTGGAGGAATTGATGCGCGTCAAACAAAGTCGTTGTATGGATGTAGCCTTTGACCCTTCTTCCCCCGAGTTTCTGTGCTCTCTCGCCCAGCAGGTTCTCATGGATCATGGCAGCTCCCAGGTCATGGATCGTGGTTGCCACTACTGCCATGGCCCTGCCTGACATCCACCACTCTTGTTATTATTATTATTAGTCATAATTCTATGWCATTAATATTAACTTGTATATTATTGTGGCATTTGTATAACCCACCACTATATATATTACCACCACTGCTACTGTAATCATTGTCTTTCATTGTAATTGTACAATATGTTTCTGTTGCGTTGTTCTGTACACGTGACATCCATTGCACGTCTGTCCGTCCTGGGAGAGGGATCCCTCCTCTGTGGCTCTGCCTGAGGTTTCTTCCACCTTCTTTTCCCTGTTAAAGGGTTTTTTTTCCTCACTCGAACCAAGGGTCTAAGGACAGAGGGTGTCACTCCCTTTAAAGATTGTAAAGCCCTCTGAGGCAAAATGTGTTTTGTGAATTTGGGCTATACAAATAAAATTTGATTTGATTTGGCCCCACTCTCATGACCCTCCCTCATATCTTGACCTTCTCTGACCTAATCCTGTAAAATGAAGTTGTCATGGTGATACAGAATCAGTGGTGAGCCACCTGATTGAGCAACAGGGATGCAACAATGTGAAACTTTATAAATATTGTAAATATATATGTATGTATATATAATTCTGACCTTATTTAATTAGTTTAGATTAGATATTCTTTATTGTCCCCAAAGGGAAATCCATTTTGCTTGGGTCAGTATGAAGAAAGACTCAAGACCAAAACATTTATAAAAGTAATAGTCTGTGTGTTAGTGTGTGTGTGAGTGTTGAGTGCACTGTCATATTTCAATTAATAATCAATTAATTTGAGCAAAAGTCAGATGAAAAGCAGGATCTAAACATGCTGCATTTTAGATTAGGAGGAGAAGCTGATGTGGCCTATGGAGAGCACACTGCTTAGACTGGGAGATTTGGGATCACAGAGGCACATGGTTTGCACATGAGGCACCTTGGAAATAAGGACATGAACCTTAAACCATGGCCAATCCATAACATCACTCCAACACTTTTTAACATCATAAATGTATTATTCCAATGCTTGTTATCTTTCCGTGGCCTTACTTAAGTTCCCTGAACTTACCCACAGGACAAAATAAAAGAAAGTATAAAAATACTGAAAAATAAAGGTCATACGTTTCAAATCTCTCTTAATACAAGTGAAGAAAGTAGCACCAAAATATACCAAAGTTAAATGAGTCATTAATCAGATTGTCTCTTTTCAGAATCATACATTTTCATAAATATTATTTTTGGCGGTCATATATTTATACATTTTTGTTGTCATGTCATCTGCAGAATAACGTTCTGTGCTGCAGAGCCATGTAAGGAGTGTGGATGTGTTTTAAATGCAAGAAGGACACTGGTACATTAACTCACTGCCTTTGGTCATGCTGTAAACTACAAAGGTATCAGTCTGATGTTTTATCTGAAATGTAAAAAAAAATTGGGTTTAGAGCGTGAGATGGACCCAGTGTGCCTCATTCTGGGCCTCCCCAGCAGATTGGTAACATCAAAGAGCAATAAGAGATTGAATTGCATCCTAACCTACGCTGCAAGGAAGAACTTGTTCTACGATGGATTAATGAAAAGGTGCCGACTGTTAAGGGCTGGCAGAGAGTGCTTCTGGACTTGGTGCCATTAGAGAACCTTACATGTACATTAAATATGAAAACAGACCAATCCTACAAAATCTGGGAACTCTATTTGAACTACAGAGATCCTGGGGTGCCTGCAATCATGTTCTTTTCGATTCTATTGCCTATTTTGTTCTATTTTCATGTGTTCTCTTTTTTTGACTATCTGCTGCTGTAACGGCCTGAAGCTTATCTTATCTTCTCTTTAAACCTGCTGCACGGTATTATATTATATTGGGTGATATTCACGTGTCCTCGCTGCTCTTCAGGTGTGCAACCACAGGAGTGAGTGTCAGTGTTTGCCTGGGTGGATGCCTCCTTCCTGCAACTCAAAAGATGAAGAGTTCTCTTCTCTTTCTACTGGTACCTACAATATGTGCACCTTCCCACAATGAATGTAGGATTTGAATCATCCACTGATGCATTCAAACAAAATTGAATTGTATTGGTTTGTATTGCAGGAGCAATTGTTGCCATATCAGTGACAATTATACTGATTGTTCTCGGTATCATCCTCGGTGTGACTGGGTTCATCTGGAAAAAACGGCAAAGACCCATTTTGCCAACGTAAGTGATGCTCACTCTGTCGCAGGTCTCAGTGAGGCTGTTTCTTTCCACTTTTGTGAATGCCGAGAGCCAGCAGATGAAATCTTTGTTTCTATGACAGAGCAAAGACCCAGAGAAAGCAGCCAGCAGTGGGCATGTCCATTCAGCGTGTCAACGAAAGGCCAGCTCCTGGTCAAGTGCCACAGGTAATGAGTTGGGCTATAACAAATAGGGCTAGTCAATAAAACAATTTCAATGATTATTGCAAAAAAGTCCAGTATATAGTGACATCATTGTGCAAGTAAGGAGATATAACACATAGTTGATCTTCCTCAGATTTGTAAAGGGCTTTACAGTTTACAAAGTGTCCATCGCTGCTCATAAAGAGTTTAAAACCACAACCTGTTACTGATATCAACATATGAATTCTTTTGTCTTGATATTTTTATTCCAGTCCTATAATAACCAACTGTTCATTTCATGTCCAAACAACTTTCAGGTTGTAAGGGTGAAGCCGAAAGCTCCACCTCCTCCTCCACCTCCAGCAGGGAACAGACCTAAACCACCGGGTCAGAACTACATGGCTGCACGTCAGGTAACTCAGCCACACAGGTTATAGGTCATAGGTCATATGTGTTAGAACACCACAATGTTAAATAAAAGGGGATCAAAGTGGTACCAGCAGAGATTCCTGAAAATGTTGATTTCAATTTATACACAAAAACTGGTGGATTAGGAGTGAAAGCAGAGTCTGAATTAGTTATAGTGACAGAAAATACAAACTACACTGATATTAATCTACAGCGACTGCAGAGATTAAATTTGAAATAATGAATAAAATGTATTGCCACAATGAGAGGTGAAGTTGATATAAATTAATCTCTTTGGTGCAAAGTTGAAAAGGAGTGTGGCTACATAATATAGGAAACACCCCTGAGGGCCAGCCACTGGTGGTGGTTGATGGGATTGAGAAAATGTTGAGGATCTGAATGAGAGGAGATGAATAGACTGGACCTGTGGTCTGTACTGAGAAGCAAGTTCACTATCACACCCTGGATATCTTTCCGAGATCAAGTTCTGAGTGCATGTGAATAAAAGCGCCGGTTTACTCCATATGAGCAATCACAGACATGGACAAGTGTACTGACAATGGAGCCTCCTCCTCCTGTGAAGGAGTTTGAGGATCAAAGTATTACATTAAAAAATACCGGGAGGTGCAAACACATTATCTAAACTAAAAGAAACACAGTTACAGCTGCTATATTCAGGAAGGACAGATGGTAAAACTGAATGTGTAAGTCACGGAGCCCAGTTGACAAATATATATATGGAGGCTGTAACAAGGTAAATCTGTAAACTTTCTACCCCCCCCCC